GCCTGGTGGCCACCTCTTTCCCTATGTTAGGGAAAATTTCTCCTATACTTGTATTAAATATGTTAACTCTTCCTTTAGCATAATATTTTTCTTCTTATAAGTGCATAACTCATAGGTTTGGTTTTTAAAATGATATCCCATAAATGTCATATGTTCTGCTCGTATTTTTAAAAATTGTCAGAATATTCTAACTCATCTACTTAGTCATGATATTCCATTTTTTCCAATTGATTCATTCTATGGCTAAGGCTTTCCACTGAGTTTATTATTTGACTTAATTGAACTTTACATGTCTAGTTTTTTTCATCAGTATTTCTTTCTCCATTGAATTCTACTTTTATATTCTATATTGACTTCCTTTTTCCCATTATGTTGTTGGCTTGAGTTCTCTTTTAATCCATTCAGGAGTTTATTAGTGTACCTCCCCCCCCCTTTGATTTTTTATTTTTGGTTTTGTCTTGGAGACAGTCTCACTATACAGCTCTGGATGACATGGAACTCAGTATGTAGACCAGCCTGGCCTTGAACTCACAAAAATCTGCCTGCCTCAGCTTTGTAAATGCTGTAATTAAAGACATTAACTACCTTGACTAGCCTATTTGTGCCCCCCTCTTTAAAAAAAAACAGACTTAATATTATTATTCTGAAGGTTTTGTCTTTTGATTTTTAATTATTTTATTTTATATGTGTTAAGTATTTTATGTGTAGAAGTGTTTTGCCTGCATGTTTATATGTGTATCATGTACATGCTTGGTGCCCATGGAAGTCAGAAGAGGGCATTGGATTCCTTAGGACTGGAGTTACAGACAGTTGTGAGCTGCCATGTGGTTGCTGGGAATTGAAACCAGGCCCTCTGGAAGAGCAACCAGTGCTCTTGACCACTGAGCCATCTCTCTAGCCTTGTTTTTTGAATTTTCAAATTCACTCTCATTGGAGGAAATTAGTATGGAATTAGTAACTTTTTGAGGTGTCATGGTGTTTTGATTTCTCATGTCTCTGTTTTTATTTGATTGTTTCTGTTAGGATTATGTGCCTGTGATTAGATGGTCAGTTAGATTTTGTTTATTTGTTTATTGCTCACATTCTTTCAGTGTTTGTAATGTCCAAGTCACAGTAGATTATAATAGCCCCGAGGTGTCATTTTCCCCTACTGGACTAGTGGTGTATCTTAGTAGTTAGAGCCTCAGCATACATATTCAGGGCACAGACTCTAAACCCAGTGTTACTCCAAGAGTAGAATTCTATCTGAATAAATAACACAATCAAAGGTTAAGCCCATTATGATAACACAGCAATAGTTAATAAAAACTCAACTGTCTTACCAGTTTCAAAATTTCAATAATTCTAGTAAATAAAGGAACACAGTACTATGTGCATGAAAATACTAGTTAGAATGTGTGTAGAAAGGTACAGAGTAAGACTAGCAATTAGTATGAGAGAGAGAAAACTAGAGGAGGAAAAAGTAAATAGAAGAGGGGACAGTAGAGACAAAAAGAGAAAGGTAAACAAATGCAACCAATTTAAAACACTCAACAGGTTTGGGAAGGAAGGCTGATGAAGGGATCCCACCCCCCCAACCTCTAGGGCAGCCGGTGCTATTCAGGAAAGCCTGTCAAAAGGAAAAAAAGGAAAAGGGAAGGACTGACATTGAGCATCAAATAAGAGATCAGAAGTGAAGCAAGAGCTGCATTGGAGTGTAGAGTCTGAAGGTAATTTCTCACCTGGGTGCTGTTCTAGTGTGGCCTCTAGACACTCTTTTTGAGGGTTACAGATGTCAGGCCTACTCCTGGGTAGTCTTTGTTTGATGGTAGGTGTTAGCCATGTCCCTACATGCTCTTTTGCTGCTCAGACTGTGAATGCTGGTCATTCCTCAGGACTGTTTTATCATCTGGTTGAGAATGCTGGTCATGCCTTTGGGTGGTCCTTCTCAAGATCAACGATATCTTCAAAACTGGAGTCTGTGTTCTACTCCAAAGATAAATTAGTAGCTGGATATGGTGGCGCATGCCTTTAATCCCAGCACTTGGGCAGAAGCAGGCAGATCTCTGTGAGTTCAAGGCTAGTTTGGCCTATCTAGTAAGCTATGGAGTGAGATCCTGTCCCTGTCAAAAAAAGCAAAAACAAAACTAAGATGACTTAGGTCAGATTTCTGCTTCACTGAATAGGGTGCAGTCCTCATCCAAAGCTTCCCCTCTCTGCTGTGAAGAGGTGTTCTGTGGTCTAGAGTATTTTAATCTCATAATACTTGTTCTAGGTTCTTGGAGTGTGGCTCGGGGAGAGTTATCAAGCTACCCAGTAAACAGGAGTCTTTAAAAACTGATTTTGATAATCCCCCTTCTAGTACAAAGAGGAGAGGGTTTTCCTGGTACCTTATCTTTCTGCTCGTGCAGTTGACAGAGTCAGCCTTTGTCTCCTCTCCTTTAAATGTCTGTTCCCACAGCACACTGCAGATGTTCTGAGGCTCTCTGTCTTTTGCTGCCATCTGCAGTTGCTCTGGCTTGCTGAGCCAGCCTCTCTCTCCAGGACAGGTTCCGGACTATTCTCCTGTATTGCCTTGCAAGTTTCCAATTTCACTTTGATTCTGAAACTAGAGATTTTCTGCCATTCCCAATGTCTTATTAAAGCTGTTCTTTAACTATACCCAGTTTACCTTCCACAGATTCCAGCCAACTAAGGCTGGGTGTTGTTCACCTCCTGCTCTGAAAGTTTTTGTTTAAATCCAACAGAGACACACTTTAAAATTTCCTTTTCTTTTCCACACAAGAGAAATAGCACCAATGATCTTTTGGCTTTATAAAGAAAATTCATTTTTATTTTTACTTTTCCGACAATAGTGTATTGATTTAAATATTATCAGGAGATCATGTAATTAATCTGAAGAATCAATCAGCATCACAAATTCTAACAACAAGCTCACAGAGGTTGTAGTCACATAAAGTATGGCATGTTATAAGATTCCTTTTAGAAATACTATTTGTAAAGAGACACATGATAAAAAAGTATGTTTATTTCTCTATATCATACCCATAATTATTTTGTGAGTAGATGGAAGTTCTTACAGTTTGAAGCTGGGGCCTGTAGGGATCAAAATTTAAGGAATAAAAAAGGTAAAGTAAGTTAATATTGATGTTAGATTTGTATAAAGATATGAAGTATATGCAACTAGTCTATATATTCCATATACACTTAAAGATGATGTGATTATATATGACATCATACTTCTATTTCTGGAATAAACTATTTGAAATAGTTACATTTCATTTTTGGTGTCATTAATAGATTGTATTACTGGTACTTTATTTAGCATTTTGTTCTTATGTTCATTAATACATTCCTTTACAATGCTTAAAATAACATGAAATTATATATGTTGTACAGTGTAATGAGTTTTCTCTGATATTATTACCATATTAAGAGTAGTATTTTGCCGGGCGGTGGTGGCGCATGCCTTTAATCCCAGCACTCGGGAGGCAGAGCCAGGCGGATCTCTGTGAGTTCGAGGCCAGCCTGGTCTCCAAAGCGAGTTCCAGGAAAGGCGCAAAGCTACACAGAGAAACCCTGTCTCGAAAAACCAAAAAAAAAAAAAAAAAAGAGTAGTATTTTATCTCGCATGGTCTTTTGTTTTCAGCTCATTCTTCCTCTGCTAATGAATCCAGGACAGCTAGTTGGTTTGATTTTGTCACTATAGATTGTTTGCATATCACTTGATTGTCTGACTCCACCTCACTAAAAATATGTACCTTATATTTATCATTGAAATGAAATTTGGGCAATAGAGGGAAGAATTTGAGGTTGATTAAAAACTAAGCAGATAAAAACGAAGCAAGGTAAGAAAATAATTTCAACTCCAGGGAGTAAACAATTTGTGTGGCAGAATAAGAGAGTAGCAATAGTACAACGCAAGTAGTTATCTCTTTGGGAGATAAGCATATAGTAAGTACATGTGCATGTGTAATGGAGGGGGATGAAGAAAATGCTTTTCCTAAAAGTTAGTAAGTAGTAGTATAAAAACTGTTAAGATACATCAAATAAAAGAACCAAAACAAATACCAGGAGAGAATAAAAATGATTGAATCTGGAAAGGAAGTTATTAAAGAGAGATAGGATAGATGAATTTTAATAATCATGAATTATGTGATTTGTTATCAGTTGTTGACAGTGATAGAAAATAAAACTAAATGGGAGAGCAACAAGTAGGACATAAAAATTGTAATGCATTAGTCATGACACTTTTGATAATCATTCATATTACTGCATCTTTTAGTAATCTCTTTTAATTGTTACATGGTATTTCATTTCAAGATTGTACCACATTTAAAAAATTTGTTTATTGATAGGCACTCGGGCTATTTCTGATTTTCTACTATTATGATTAAAATTGCTAGTTTCCTAGGTAAGAAAATAATTTTGTGGGCATATGCCTTGAATTTTCTTAGGTGCATACATAATTGCTAGGGCCTGGTAAAGGTATATATGGTATATATTTAGTTTGTTTACAAGTTGTAAGATAGGTTTTTTTCTTTTTCAAGACAGAATTTCTCTGTGTAGTCCTCACTCTGTAGAGAGGCTGGTCCTGAACTCAAAGATATCCACCTGCCTCTGCCTCCCAGAGTCTTGGATTAAAGGTATGTACCACCACTGCCTGGCTGTATGATAATTTTCTAAAGTGGTTACAAAATATTTTGGGCCAGGCGGTGGTGGCGCACACCTTTAATCCCAGCACTCGGGAGGCAGAGGCCGGCGGATCTTTGTGAGTTCGAGGCCAGCCTGGGCTACCAAGTGAGTTCCAGGAAAGGCGCAAAGCTACACAGAGAAACCCTGTCTCAAAAAAAAAAAATTTTTTTGTACCCTAACCAACAGTGTCTGAGAGGTTATTCCATACCCATTTTTCTACATTTAAAAGCTAATAATAGCCATCCTGGTGGCCATGTAATAGTGTCTCATCATCATTTTAATTTTCACTTCCCTGACGGCTATTTCTACTATTTACTCTCTTTCAGACAGTTCGGCATGGTTTTCCTTATCAGCCCACAGCACTGGCCTTTGATCCAGTCCAGAAAATCTTGGCTATTGGAACAAGAACAGGTGCTATACGAATGTATCCTTAATTTTTGTTAATTATTCATTCAAGTAAGTAAAGCACTTATAACCAAAAAAGTGCATTGTTTCCTTAAAAATTAGTAACTATTGCTAAAATCACCACTGTCAGATTTCTTACTATATTTTTATCTTGGAGGTCACTGTTGATGTCCCTTCTTTAACTTCTGTTAGTGCTTGCTCGTGTCATTCTTTTTCTGTTAGATGTTTTTTAGTTATGCACAGAGATTGAACTTTTAGACTCACGTTTCTTCATTGTTTACCTCTATTTTATATATTTGTCTCTACTTTGATCTTTTTTGAAATTTACTTTGGGTTTAGTTTAAACCTTTTTAGTTTCTTAAGGTATAAATAGTCATTAATTTGATAACTTCTTTTATAATAATGTGCATATAGTGCTATAGGTTTATTCCCAAATGCATTTCAATGTCTTCTCCATTTTTCCAAATTAAACCTTTTATTTTGAGATTTATATTTAGGTATAAGAAATATTTCTGAGAAATCTCATGTATTCTTTGACCCAGTTTCTTTTACCTGTAATGTTTTATAAAAACTATTGTGTGATACCACAACTAGGGAGCTGGAGAGATGGCTCAGCAGCAAATGTACTTGCTGCTCTTGCAGAGGGCCCGAGCTTGGTTCCTGGCATCAATATGGTGGCTCCTAACTTTTTATAACTCCATTCCTCTTCTGGCTCCTGAGGGCAACAGGCATAAAATGGTGCTCATACATTCATACAGGCACTCGTTCGTACATATAAATAAAAAAAATTAAAAACAATATTCTACACTTCTACAGTCACCTTATTTTGACAAAGAGGACAACAGTACACATTGGAGAAAAGGTAGTATCCATAACCAATGGTGCTGGTAACACTGGTTAACTACATGTGAAAAAATGAAACTAGATCTTTCTCTCTCATCCTGCATAAAACTCAACTCCAGTGTATCAAAGATCTCAGTGTAAGACTTGATTCCTTGAATCTGATGGAGGAGGAAGTAGGGAATATACTTGAACATATTGGCACAAGAAAGGAACATTTGTTCACTGTTAGCAGGAGTGCAAAGAGGTGCAGCCACTCTGGATATCAGTGTGGAGATTCTTCTAAAAACTAGAAATAGATTATTATGTGATCAGCTATACCACTCTTGGACATATATCCAAAGAACTCTGTGATGGTGGTTTGAATGAGAATGGCCCCCATAGGCTCATATATTTGAATATTTGGTTCCTAGTTAGTGGAAGTGTTTTGGGAAGGATTAGGAGGTGTGACCTTGTTGGAAGAGGTGTGTCATTTGAAGTTTCAAAAGCCAATGCCAGGCCGAGTCTTTCTACCTCTGTCACCAACTTGTGGATTAGAAGTACTGTCTCAGCTACTATTTCAGCACCCTGCCTGCTTGCCTGCTGCCATGCTTCCTATCATGATGGTCATGAATTTACCCTATGAACTATAAGCAAGCCCCCAATTAAATGCTTTCTTTTAAAAGTTGCCTTGGTCATGGTGTCTCTTTATAGCAGTAGAAAAGTAAAAGAGTTGGGTGGTGATGGCACATACCTTTAATCCTAGCATTTGGGAGGCAGAGGCAGGTGGATCTCTGTGAGTTCGATGCCAGCCTGGTCTACAGAGTGAGTTCCAGGAAAGCCAAGGCTACACAGAGAAACCCTGTCTTGAAAAAAATTTAAAGAAAAAAGAAAAGTAAATGAGAAAAACTCTATATCCTATTGTAGGGAAACTTGCTCATCTATGTTCATTACTTCTCTAATCACAATAGCCAAGAAATGGAAACAACATAGATGTCCATGAATAGATAATGAGTATATGATATGTTTAAAAATAGAATATTATTCATCTGTTAAGAAAAATGAAACTGAAATTCATAGGTAGGTGAATGAAGCTGGAAATAATCATTTTGAGTGAGGCTACCCAGACCCAGAAAGACAAATGTCCCATGTTTTCTCTTATTTGTTAATGTTAGTTTTGTATCTCCAGATATGTGTGTTTCATTTGCAATGCCCATAGAATTAATAAATTATTAAGGTGCTATGTGGAATGGAGGACTTCAAGGAAGAGGAGATAGAACACATTGTTATAAAGGGCTAAAGGAGAATAATGGAACAGGAAGGGTTTAATGGGGTGGGTAATGGGAGGGCAGGGTAGAGAGAATAAGGGAAAGGGGTAAATAATTCTAAATACTTTTAAAAAGTCATATGGAAATCTACTACTGTAGAAACTCCCTAAAATATGTACATACACATATGTAATAAGAGTTTAAATGGAGTCACTCTATAATGGGATAACAATGCTCCCGCTAGAGACCACAGGCTAGCAAATGAAAAGGTACAGTGCCACAAATAGGTTACTTCTTTTGGAATTGTTGGCCATTGAGATCCCATAGATTCTCCCAAATACTGCAGACTATTTCCAAAGCTTTTACCTTCCATAACCTGACAGTAAGTCCATATTGCTGAAGACACCGCATAGTTGAGACACAAGAACACAGAGAAATCAAGATGGTACTCACCTGGAAGTTTCACAACTCTAAGCTAGCTTTCACCATCCTGGAAGATGCTATGCATGCTATTGGAGTAGAAAAGCAATCACTTATATAATCCAGCTACAGTAATGATTGACCTGGCAAGACATGCTCACGTGTGCAATGGTAGCATGTCCACTGGTGCAATAGTGGCATGAACAGTATGAGAACAACCAACCACTTTCTGCTTGGATTTAAGGCCCACTCCACAAATTGAAATCCATATCTGGTACTAATACTGGGACCAAGAACCTACGGCTAGATAGGTCAAGGGCCCTAGGGAAGAAGCTACTACTATTACTCTGCTAAATGCACATAGTAGAAAACCAATTCCTAATGGCTTATCATTATATACATAGATCAATGTATCTCTTAACTCCCATCAGAACATCTTTTGCAGTAGATGGCAATACAGAGACCTACAACTTGTCAAGTTGCAGAAAATAAGAAACTCCAGAATCCCCAGCTCTAAACAGGACATCCTATTACATCCCTTCCTCCCAAGGCTCGAGAATCATTTTGGAAAAGGGAGTAGAAATACTAAGAGCTGAAGCAGTAGATGACTACAAGGAAGCAGTGACTTTTGGACACAGCAGGGCAGTTGTACATATGAATTCAGAGTAGTTGTGACAGCATGCACAAGACTTAGGCAAGCTTAAGCCAGACAAAAAACTCAGGACAGAGCGTAGAGATGGGCTCAAATTCCCACCTCTAGCTAAGGAGCTATTGATAATTGATAGCTGATGGAAGAAGCAGAGTCAGTTTTCTTTAAGGGTGTCACCCATGGCAGGTTGGTCACACTCCAGTGGAAGGTTGTGCATCCAAGAGTGGGCAGTACCATCTGTATTTGATGGGTTTAAACTCCCCACAAATTTGGGTGGGTAGGGAAAGGGGGTAGACCTTGGAGGAGTGGAAGAAGGGTTGAAAAGTGAAAAACCTTCTTTAATTTGCCCCTTCTCATATCAATAGTATAATAAAACACAAATAATATTTAAAAAGTAATATCATAATCAGGATATACTCTGGAAATGACATTTCTTTCATTATACGGATTCTTCAGGTTGCCTATTTATGGTGACACTGGCCTTAGTTTTGTTTCTGTTGCTGTGGTAAAATGCCCTGAATAAAGATCAGCTTAAGGGAGTGAAGGTTTATTTTGGATGACAATCCAGAGTACATTATGAAGGGGAAGCATAGCTGCAGTAGCAGGAGGCCAGCTGGTCACATTAATTGCCACCAGCTGTTTAGGGAGAGGTAGGGCCTCAAGAGTTCCTTCCCAATCCATGAAGGAATGTTGAAATGTCCAGTCTTGTGTAATTCCACAGCAGCTTGCAAAGACCATGTCATATCCAGCAGACAGAGTTTCATTGGTGCTTACCTCCCCATCCTCCTCCTCTTACACATTCTGTCTCCTCTTCTACAATGTTCCCTAGGCCTTATACGGGGTGAAATAGATGTCCCATTTGGGGCTGATAATTCAACAGTCACTTGTTTTCAGTAATTTGACCAACTATTTATTTCTTCATTATTTCTCTATTGAATCACATTTTCATATCTTACATTGACTTTCTTATTCCATTTAGTTGTATGTGCTGTCTTGGAATTCATTCAGGAATGTATTTGTTTCCTCTTTCATTTCTTTGAGCATATTTATAATTATTTTGAGTTCATTATCTGGAATTTTGTCTAAGAACTCTTAGGAGGGGCCATTTTCTAGGATTGGTAGGTTTTGGAGAACATATGTTGCCTTAGTTTTTCACATTACTTCTACTTTTACATTTGGACTTGGACATCTGGAGTTAGACTGTTGGTTGAATTCATTTATTTTTTTGTTTGGCTCACCTTTTTTTTTTCAATGGACATGTTTGAAATGTTTCAGAGGTACTATGTTGTAGCAGAACTGAACAATCATTTCCTCCGTTAGACTGGTTTTCAGGGCTCCATTCCCTATGTTCTCCTAGGGAGAATATTATTTGCAATAACAATCCCTATCCAGGGATAGACCCTCTATGAAGATAGAGCCAATACAAAATATTCACCCCTTAAACACCAATCATTGTAAAAGAACACTGCAAGTGCTGTATGCATGTTATCACATACTAATTATTGTGGATGTAAGTCAGGGTCTGGTAGGAAGGAAGAAAAAAACATGGTAAGACACAGTGGTTAGCACTTGGATGATGGAAAGTAGAGGGGATATCTTAGTTAGGGTTACTATTGCTGTGACCAAAATAAAGTTGGTGAGGAAAGGGTTTATTTGGCTTACACTTCTACATCACTGTTCATCATTGAAAGAAGTTGGGACAGAAACTCAAAACAGGGCAGAACTTAGAGACAGGATCTGATGCCGAGGCTGTGGAGGGGTGCTGCTTACTGACTTGTTCTTCATGGCTTTCTCAGCCTGCTTTCTCAGAGAACCCAATACCACCAACTCAGGGGTAGTACCACCCACAATGGGCTGGGCCCT